CAGAGGCACACGGGTGCATGAGGTTGTTAGGGAAGGAAAAAAGCGATGGCTGAAACCAGGTGTGAAGAACTGGTAAGGGTGAAGCCAGAAATGTGAGTCAAAGCTTCATTTGAAGGTCTTGCATAACAACGTGACCCTGTAGATAGGAAGAAACTCCCAGCAAGGTTGGTTTTTTGTTGAAATTCTATTCTAAACGTAAAAGAGAAATATATATATATAACAGTTATTTAGGTTTTATTCAACCTATTTTTGTATAGAAAAAAATTAAAACTAATGTCATTTGCTTTAATCTAAAAGATAAATGTTGGAAAACTGATGGCATCAGTAATATAACTTATAGATCAGAAGAAAGAGTTATAACATTCAGCCTGGACACTTTGGGCCCTGTTACCTTGATTCAAGATACTCATATTAACATGCCATACCAGTCATGGGAACTAAGACCATTTGATGTGAATAAAGTACTTTTGACTGTGACTACAGAATTTGCTGAGATTCAAATACAAATTAAGGTAAGTCATTGTTACAGCAAGTCACATCCAAGAGGTAAGCCTCATTGGTGACTATAAGAGAGAGTGTGGTCATTTACATACAGAAATGTCTTTTTTTTTTTTTTAAGAAACTTTATTTTCCATCAATTTTATTTTACTTTCTGTCTAAAAATCTGTATAAGAATAGCTAAGACCCTTGAGTGGTCATTTCTACCTGTTCAGTGGCCTAAGCAGTGAGGGCTGCAGCCCAGGCTTCAGTAGGGAACTGCTGTTGAAATGACTTTTATAAATAAATATGTTTAATATAGACCTTGAGCTATAATTTCTGAACAAAATATTAATTAGATGATAAATAACATGTAAAAAGCGAGGCAAAAATTTATACCCTAAAGTTAGTAGGAATAGACCAATTAATGAAAGTACAAGCCTGGTTGCAGTATGACTTTCAGAGAGTGTTTGACCCACTCCTAAGAGGTGTCCTGATCTTTATCACCAAGCCCTTTGAAACCCCCTTTGTGAGGTTTCTCTTTCAAGGAGCCAGTATTACTGGGCAGTCATAAATCAGCCTGAAATCTGGAGACAGAAAGTACAATAGATTAGTGGTTGCCTGAGGCTGAAGGTGGGAGTGGGGATTAACTGTACATTGGCATGAGGGATGAGAGGAGGATGGAAGTGTTCTAAAACTGATTTATGGTGATCATTGCACCACTCAGTCAAGTTTTAAAAAAAAAATCACTGTACGTATTCTTCATTTGAAATGGGTGAATTTATGATATGTAAAGTATACCTCATTAAAGTTGTTTTAAGAGAGAGCTAGCCTGAAATTCTTAAGAATGTGGAAGACTAGAATTAGTCAAGCTTTGCTTTTTAAAGCAAATGAGAGGTGTGAATTTTGTACACCTTTGAACTTCCAGTTTAAACTTTGCAAACTTTAAACCTATAAAATAATTTTGCATTATGTTAAATCTTATGTAATTATGTAAATAATTATTGTTAAATAGTGTAGCCTGATTGCTATCAAATAGCTATTATAATTCAATAGGAACATACGTAGTATTCTTAGATCATAACTTATAAAATAGGAGATCTGAAAGATCCTTTAGTTCAATCCCCTTATTGTTCAGATAAAGCACCACAAGGTAACATGGAGACCTGGTGGCAGACCTTTCAGATTGGTCCTAAGACATACCTTCCCTGCATTCCTTTTAGTATAGAATGTGCTAGGGCTTAAAGAACCCTAAGGCTAGAACCAGAATGATAATGAAGTAAGAATTTCTTTAACTTGTATGAAAGCTTCTTTTTTTTCTCTCTCCTTTTTTTTTTTTTTTTTTTTTTTTTTTTTTTTTTTTTTGATACTAGGAAGGCCTCTGCATGTTAGCTTCAGTAACAATCGGTGAAAAAAACTCTCTCTCTATGTTGGAAGGAAAATGGATGAGTCCTATTTATTTCATTATTACTTTACAAGAAGCTGGGTTGAATATCTTCCCTAATGAGTACTCTCATTTTTATGTGGCTAGAAACCAAAAGGTAAGAATGAATCTTTCCAAACTTAATGTAATGGACATTTAGAATGCTAACAAGTATTAAATTGTATATAAATCTTAAAAGGACATCATGGGTTTTCTATATTCATTTATATAAGATTATAGTTAGAAAAGAATAAATGGCAAGTTCAGAAATTCAGAATTTCTCTAAAGTTTAAAGATCTTCCCCCAAAGAAGTAAGCTTTTAGTATAATCTTCACTTGACAAGAGGAGGACACCCACAATTGGCCAGTGTTGGTGCAAGGGTAGTCAGAACCATGTCACAATTTGTATATGTTTTTGCTTCTTCCAGACTAGTTATATGTAAGACTTTTTTTTTTTAATATATTTTATTGATTTTGTACAGAGAGGAAGGGATAGAGATAGAGAGCTAGAAACATCGATGAGAGAGAGTCATCGATCAGCTGCCTCTTGCACACCCCCTACTGGGGATATGCCCGCAACCAAGGTACATGCCCTTGACCAAAATCGAACCCGGGACCCTTCAGTCCCCAAGCCGAAGCTCTATCCATTGAGCCAAACCGGTTTCGGCTATGTAAGACTTCTTAAAAGAGTAAATGACTGAGCAGTTTCCCAAACAGGATAAGTCAGATGAAATCAAACACACATACAGACAACTGGTACACAACCCACTTCCTCCTGGGCCTTGGCAGAGGCTCCCTGTAGACGCAGACAACACACAGCCTGCTTTGTGTTACTGGGAAGGCTGTAGCTCAATGAGATCCTTCCTTATGAAACTGTTAGCTCTCTGAGGATGGGAACTGCCTTTTGATCAATTTGGATGGATTCTTCTAGCACCTCACATATCCCTAGAATATAGCAGATGGTTAGTAATATTTGACATATAAATGAAGACAAATTCTCTCCTTATCACGAGAGGTGTTTTGAGCAGATGAGTTCAATCCTCAAGAACAAGTTTATATTATACCAGAAAAAATGACAATATAGGTAGATATTTATGTAGCATCTGAAAATAATTATCTCAAGAGAATGTACACGTGTGAGTGTGAGTGTGTGTGTGGGAGGGGGGGAAGGGGGGAATACCACCTTGGTTTTAGTAACTTAAATTGCCAGTTACTCTGCAAATGCTGAATATAGTGTAGTCTTCATTTACTTAGAATATTAAAGAATTTCTTTTTCTGACCACCTATATTCTAGTATTCTAGGCATGTTTTAGATGCTTAGGATACATTAGTGAATTTTTTTTTTAAGTTCCTGACCTTGTGGAGCTGACATTTTAGTAGGAGACAAAAAAATAAGCAATAAGCATAAAAAATGATTGCATGTTAAAGGTAAATAAGAGCTATGGGCAAAAGAAAAGGTAGATCATGAATTCTGGGGTTAGGGCAGTGTACAACATCAAATATGGCATTGGGGGCTCGGTGAGAAGGAAAGATTTGAGCAGAACATGAAGGTGGGGAATGTAACCAATTGGATATCTCAGGAAGCAGCTTCCAGGCTGAGCAGCCTAGAAGATTGAAGGAAAGCAAGGAGGCCAGGTGCTTGGAGTGAACAAAGGGAGAAGAGAAGATAGGTCAGATAGATAATGAGATGTGTGTGGGAGGGTGTCAGATCACACAGACCCTGACAGGTCACTGTTAGGACTTTGGATTCTATTTTGAGAGCCAGGAAAAGCCATTGCTCCGTATTGAAAGGGGAGTCACAGAATCTGACTTGCATTTTAATGGCTTCTTCTGTGTTGAGATAAACTGTAGGAGGCCAAGGATGGAAGGGAGACTTGTTGGGAAGGCTCTATGATCAATTCTATTGACTTTTATATTGACAGGATCCTTTGGTGGAAATGAAAGCTTATCGACAAATGGCCTTGCTAAGCTCTGCTTTTGCATTTGGTTGGAGCAAGTGGAATATGCAATGTGGTCCTGAAAAAGTTATATTTAAGGTAGAGTATGCAAAAGCCCATAACACCACTTTGTCCTCCAAAAGAAACGGTACTCAAAGGCTAAGAAAATATAGACCGTTTTCTCCTCTTAAAAATGGGAGGAGGGAATAACACTCAAAATGGAGTTTTAAACCATTTTTTTTTTTAATTTTGTCAAAAATATAAAGCTACACTATGTGAAGGGTTGTACCTTCATTGCCCATTATGGTACCAAATGCTCTTGATTTCAGACTAGAGTCCTTTTATCTCGTTATAGTCTCTCCCTTTAATGCGAATATATATCAATGGTTCACGAACTTATTGGCACATTTGCTTCTTACCTGATAAATTCTAAAAGCTGACTAATTAATGTTTGAGCGTAAATTAGCCACCGTATTTATTTGTCTTGTTTATTGTGGTTCTCCCACTAGAACCTAAGCTCTTTGAGGACAATCATTAATTACTGATTAATGTTTGATTTGTTATATTCCCAGCAACTGGAATAGTTGTTGATTGAATTAATGCATTTTGGGGATTGAGTTGAGCCCTTCAACTAATACTCTCCTGCCAAACTACTTAATTGGAATAACAGATTTCTCTGTTTTCTTTCTTTAGGTGAGTGAACACCTTACTCAAGACGAGACACCTATTGAGAATCCTAATTGGACTCTTTTAATGTTTAGTGGCAACCGAGCACTAAGGCTCAAGATTGACGAAGACAGTGAGGCATTCTCTGAGGCCCTGAAAGAGGAAACTGAGTTTCATTCTACTCTCTATCACATGATTAAGGATTTTGCTTCTGTAGAAGCAATGGAGAAAGTCTTGAGCCCTGACCACCAGTTTGTTCACTCTGTGTGCCACATGCTACTCTGTACTAGAATATTCAGTTATTCTTAATCTCTACTGATAAACTTTATTCAGCATGAAGAATCAAACAACTCAAAGAAAAAAAATCGGGAATTTTCTCAATAAAATGTAGCCAGTGACTATATTTCAAATAGGATATTAAAATGACCTAATCAGAATTTTTTACTCAAATTTTATTTTGTTACATGTGGGGTTCTTTTCCTATGAACAGTGGCGCACTGAAATTTAATGATTCTTTATTTCAACAAAAGTTAACAAACAACTTTATATAATATATCCTTCTCAATAAGCTCATTAAAAGGTCATGGGAAGGTAATCACAAAAAGAGGGAATTTAAAAATCTTAGTCATTCTGAGAACCTCCGGATCCAGCTATATGTTACTCATTTACAAAATTCGGATACTGAAACTTTAAAAAATCAACATACACACATTAGGACATCCTACAGTCACACTGGCGGTGGCCCGTTGTGTTGGAGTCTGGTAAATGGCCACAAGATATGTTCTAGAGACATCCAGGAGTCTCCATCCTGGGTGGGGGCAGCATCCACGGACTTCTGGAAAAACCGGCCTGTGAGGAAGCTTATCAAAGCCGCAAACAGTACAACCAACGCAACGGAAAGCCAGAGTGCCTTATTAGCCTTCCTGATGGAGGTCTTGAGATTTGTTGCCCAGGAAGCTATTGTGTCATAGCTACAAGGAAAATACAGATTCAGAATTTGGTCATCACAGTAACCCGTTATTATAATAGAATCACTTCTTTCATCAACAATACCGATCAAATCATTGACCAACACTGCTTTGTAATAAACTACATGATGTGGTCTAATGTCTCGGTTTGGGCCACAATCTGCCCCCTTTATAATTGTCAGAATTAAAGAAATAATATGTGAGTATGGTGAGAATCTGAAAATGCTGTGATTCAGGCATTATTTAACTCCTAACAAGTACATACAACTATTATCTTAATTCAGGGAAAGCGGCGTGTTCCTACAGTGGAAACAAAAATATTACTTATTGAATAGAGTAGAATATCTGTGTATGACATATGTATAGATAAATAGGTCATTTATTTCTCACCGTACCATAGATGTTTGGTGTACTGATATTTAAACTCTATTTCTTTTAGAGACGCCCACCCAAAAAGGTTACATATTTACAGCATCATTTAAGTCTTTGACACTGTGCTAAGCATTTTACTCATGGTAATTCATGTAGTCATGACCTCAGGACAAAGGTACTGGCATCACCCGTTTTATAGATGAAGAATTGGGTGAAGGTGACCAGCCACAGAGCTCGCTGGAGAGCTGGGTGTGGAGCTGGGCCTCCTGGAGGCTGGGCCAGGCTCGCGCGGGATGCTCCTCCCCGTTGTAACTCACAGGTTCAAAACTAACCCCTGCAGACCACTTGAAGTTTGCTATTCATCTTAAATCTCGTAGTTGGACAGTTCTTTAAATAAAGTAATTTAATCCAGGGTAATACTGTTTACCCTGCCTTGCCCTTCCCCATTCCACGAAAATGACAGAATTTGGTAGATAGACAACTTACACTGAAGAGACATCCCATTTCGATGGATTATTCCTCTTTTCAGAAAGACTCGGCTTCCTTGTCCTTTCTATTATTTCTTCTCCGGGGGGCTCTGCATCATCTTTAGTTCTGTAAGTAAGTGTTGTTGTTTTTTTAAATATACAAAACTAGGAATCATGTGCTATGATTATAAAATACTAGAGGCCTGTTCATGATATTCATGCAAGAATAGGCCTTCCTTCCCCTGGCTTCACTCCCAGCCGCCTGGAGCCAGCAAGTCCTTACTTCTGTCTGGAGCACCACTCCAGTAGCTCCCTCTGCCGCCTCCCTTCCCCTCATAGCAGACTTCACTCCACTCCACACCTGTATATGTAAATTAACCGCCATCTTTGTTGGGTTAATTTGCATACTCTGGCAGTGGGCATAGCGAAGTGGTGGTTAATTTTCATGTTTCTCTTTTATTAGATAAGATTGCTACATTTCATTGTGTTAATAAAGATGCACACAAACATTTGACAAATATCTAGTTCTAAAAGTCATATCACCAAGTTTATTTAACCATTTTGTTTTCACCAAGTATTTTTCTACCATGTGGACTATAATAACCTTAGTTGATTGTACTCTTTTCTTTGTAGGCTTTTCGGTCAATGGTAAATAGGAATAACATCAAAGTGTTGTTTCTTCTATTTTTCTTAAAAAAATCTTAATTTTAAAACTTTATGAAAATATCCTCAGTGCAAAACTAGTTGAAATATGCTAGCAGTGTTTAGCAATCTGGCAAATGGTGACTGAATTGACTTTATTTTAAATAACTTCATATTATCTAAAGAGGGATGCCCTGACCTGAACAGAACCTCTCCTTATTATGTTCACTGCTGAGTTCAAGCTCGTGATACCCTCACAATTGCCAAAGGGAACTGTCTCAAAGTGGTGGTGGTTGTTTTAGTAAAAAAATACAGGGAGGTCTGATCGAGGGGAGATGGGGGAGGGTGGGAGTAAAGAGGAGAGATCAACTGAAGGACTTGTACACATGCATATAAGCCTAACCAATGGACACAGACAACAGGGTGTGTGTGTGTGAGGGTATGAGTAGAGGGGTGGAGGGGCAATGGGGCAATAAAGACACATATGTAATACCTTAATCAATAAACAAACAGACAAACAAAAAAGGCAGAAAAAATACAGGAATGTATGTGGTAGATTTTAGTTTAGTCTTTAAAGGAAATAAGGTCCAAAAGCCAGATTCAACAGCATTCTTATAAGATTCTCAGTTTTAGTCTTTCGTTTACAACGACTTCTCAGTAAATATCATACTATACTAACAAAAAGCAAATAATACATTGTACTCATTTGAAGGAAACTCTTGATCTTTTTTCTGCCCCAGATCAGTAAACATCCATTATGGTAACTCTTAAGAGTTTTCAGTACTCCCCATGCAGCAGGCTCTGGGGAGTATTAAAAAACTTTAAAGGTAGGCCCTAAGTCTTACTCATCTCTGTATCTCTTAGGATTGGGGTAGTGTCTGTCACACACTAGGCTCTCAAGGAACATGTAGAACATGAACATAAAATCATTTCATTAAGGTCTTCGCAGATGAGGAAACTGAGGCCAAGGAAGGTTAAAACAATTTGTCCAATGTCACCCATGGACTTATAGGCATTTGTTCATGTCTCTCCCTCCTGCCTTCTCTCCCTTGTGCTATAGAAGTATATTTTATTTAACTTGCTAGATGTAGAGTAGTCATGTTGAGTTTTATGTTTCTCCTACTCTTCATTTATGTAAAGGGAAGACTATATATATATTGCACATATATTACATATGTGCCTATGGTATATAATTCATGTATTTTTTTAAAAAAAAGTTACACATTTTACTTCTATGGGGCTTTATTCACTGTCCCCCCATCCCTGCTGGCAGGATACCTGCCTGTACAGGGAAAAACATTATCTTTACAAATCTAGAAAATTACAGGGCCTTTTCTAACTTAAGACAAAAAACCTTGCAGTTCTGAACTCTACAAGAGTTTATTCACAAATAGCTTTTATGTAGTGCTTTGCAGTATATAAGTCTTAAACAATGAATTAGCTTTTTAATGATCTAATGCTGATCTCATCTCCACAGAATAAAAGTGATCCCCATTTTTATGCCCAGCTCACATCAGGTTAACAAACATACGCTTCACCTACTTGAGCTCACATTTTTCTTCTTCACCATCTGCCCAGGAATAGGTACTGATAAACCGTTGTAATGAGGGGCGGTGTTCACTCTGCTTTGACCCCAAAACACGCCTATAAAAGATGATCATATCCACTTGTCATATCAAATATATCCATACCCATTATTAACTTATTTCCCACTCCCGAACTCATTACAAAAGTTATATGTCCTAATTATTTTCCTTGGCACTTGCATATTGCTTATTAAAAAAATAAAACATTTTATTATATGACAATTTTAAAAATTATTCTGCTTATATCACTTATTTCAAAAGTTTATTTTAACACAGTTAAAATTACTAAAGTTACCAAAGAGCAATCATATAATTATACTTACCAACTACTTGACCTCCTACTGAATCGGTCATTGTTTTCCTTCCCAGAAGTCTTTAAAGGTGTGAAAGAAATGATAAAATATGAATTTAATGAAGTATTTCATATGTTTTTCTTATATGAAAATGACTTTGCTTTTGACTGAGGATAGTTAGAAACTTGCTTACCATTGCGGCAGTGCCAATATTTCTGGGTAAAGAGGCAATTGTCACTCTTCGAAGAGAAGATGGCTATTCAAAAGGGGGAAGCAAACATTTAGAAAATTCTTACTATTTTATTCTTGTATGCAACACTGATGAGTGTATTTGTACATACGCATCCATGCACTTGACTACTGCTGAACTAAACAGCAAACACTAAAAAGGATTCTGTTATGAGTAAATTGTCTTCCAGAAGTATTCTACTCATTTACATTTCACCTTTCCTAACATTGGGTGAGTCTAATTTTTGCCAGTCAAATAAAGGGTATAAGCTTTTTTGTTTAGGTTTGCATTTATTTGACTTTCAAAATATTCAACATGTTTTCTATGTTAAATACCGTATTTTCAAGCGTATAAGACGACTTTTGAAATGAAAAAAAAAGTCAACCGAAAATCGGGGGTCATCTTATACGGCGAGTATATCCCGAAAAACGTCTTGATATGCCGCTAAACGAATTTTCCAACTCGATCCCACATCAATCACTGCAAGGCTGCTTGGACCGCCTCTTTAACTCAGCCAATCCAAGCAGGCTTTTTATGCATGCAAATTATACATGTTCTGTACCCGAAGCTATAATACACTGTGTTCTAGTAAAAAGCCTACTCAGATTGGCCAGAGTCAGAGAGGCGGTCTATTAAAAAAAGAACTGGTGTTGCCTCGGAAATGGGGGGTAGTCTTATACAGCGAATATAGGCCTAAACCTATGTTTTAACTGTAAAATTAGGGGGTCGTCTTATACTCCGGAAAATACGGTAACCATCTGAGAACTACCTGTCTATGATCTCCGCCCATATTAATTTTATTCATGATATTTTGGGCAGAAAATGTTTTCATTGTTAATACAGCCAAGTCTCTTCATCTCTTCCTCTCTTTTGTTACCATTTCTTTTAGAAAGATTTTCCTCTACTAAGAGGAGCTAAATATAGACCTATATTTTACCTTTTTAAAATTGCTTCATTTTTCCCATTTAATGCATTTAAGGATGGGCATATTACTTTAATGAATGGGTGTGTTTTTCGATCGACCTTGAGGCTTGCACAGAAAAAAATGTTGTATTATGTGGTTCTTAAAGTTTGAGTAAGTACAGCTTTAGGAAATAAAAATATTTTAAATGTAGGAAATAAAGTTTTATGCCAATCCTTTTCTTAAACCATTATCCCTAAATTATTTTCATAGGTTAGTTGAGCATCAAGAATATAAACCTGTGGTCCATGAAACTTGGGTCCCAATCATGGTTCTATCACTACATACATCACAACTAATCAACTAACTTCTGTGCTTCTCTCTTTCCTCATGAGTGAAAAAGAAATTTGGATGGAATGATTTTAGAGTCACTTGCTCAAAAATCCTATTACTACATTCTAAGCAATCCTGATTTTCAAACTCCCTGATTCTTAGTTAGGCATACAGCCTCCAGAATAATAATAATAATAAAAACCCCAACAACTGTATTTCCAGTCCTATTTGCAACTAAAGTGAAAAGGGAAATGTTTTCTGGGACTTCTAGGAAGTTATTTTTAAAGGGCAAGGGAATACCTGTCTTTCCTTTTTCTTGGAATGTGACTGGGTGTAATGACCAGGCCTCACTGCAGAGGCCTCTGACACCATAGTAGGGACACAGAGGGTGAGTGGATGAAGCAGTTAGAAAGGAGGAGGCTTGCCCTGTGGATTTTGTGAAGCTACTTTGCTTTTGGTGGATTTCCTTTTTCCAATTCCCATTTTACATGACAGATATTGTTGTTTACAGCTTTCTTCTCACCACCAGTCACATTTAATTGATAAACCAACATAACAAGAAATATAAAAGCATACACTTGAGCAAATATACACACTCATATATGCATGCATATCAATTGTTTTATGATCTACATTCAAAGCTATGTTGCTTCAAATATTTAAAAACCAACCCCCTAAAATATTTGATAGACATCTTTAAAGTGAATCAGTAGATAAATTATTAATTACCTTGGAGTTTAGAGAAGCTGAGCGTTTTTTAATTTGACAGTCATCTAAAGGAAAAACATTTGCACATTTTAGAAACTATATTTGTAATTTCTGTTAATGCAGTGGTCTTAATTCTTTACAAAACAAAAACAAAAACCAACAATCAGAAACTATTTAAGATCCTGAAGACAGCTGGTGGTATAAATATTTAGTTATTGTTTATTTGGTGATTCATAAAAATGACCACCTTAATGAACAGAAAACAGTCCACTATGTTACTACATATGTCCAGAATGCTGACTTGGCACACAGTAGGTACTAAATTAATATCTTTTGAATAAATGAACCCAAAATTTCAGATAGAAGATACCAACTATGGTTACTTTTCTTGAAGAAGGGACAGATCATTAAGAATTCTCAGAAGTTCATACTGCTTATTTAACAGAAACTAAGATTTATATAAACCTTATATTAATATATTTTCCATGGCCTCACATCTGTCCCTATTTCCCAATTCATTAGTCAGCTTTACTATGTTAGGGTTATTCCTTCTTTGAGGAATACAAAACCATGATTGATGAGAACATTAAGTTATTCTGCCTTACTTTGTGTGGAGAAAGAACCAATTTTAACATATCCTAAGTAGGAGAACACTAGGGTCAACTCAGTGGGTTGGATTATATATATTCTCTGATCTCAGCAATTTAAATTTATTCAATGAATTTTTTAAAAATATGTTTTTATTGATTATAAAAAGAGAGGAAGGGAGAAGGAGAGAGAGGGAGAAACACTGATGAGAGTAACATCATTGATCAGCTGTTTCCTGCTGATCAATGATGACACACACACACACACACACACACACCCCACTGGGAATTGAGCCTGCAACCCAGGCATATGTCCTGATCAGGAATCAAACCAGCAACTTTTCGGGGCACGGGATGGTGTTCAACCCACTGAGCAACACCATTCAGGTCAGATTTAATGAAATTTTTTATGTCATTATCAAAATCCTTGTCTCCAGCCTGTTATTTAACTGACATCCTACTTTTGGCTATGCAGATGACAGGAATGAGTTATTCTTTTAATATAACTTTAACTTAAGACCTAACAAGTAGCAAGAGAGAGAATGAAAAAGATAAATGTTAGGAAAACATAACTGGCACTATTATCTTAAATTTATATTACCTTCATCTTCCAGAGGGTTAAAAGACCTTTCATTTTGCAAAAGAACCTGTTTCAGTTCTTCTAATTCAGCGTGTTCTTTGGCATACATTCTCTTCAGATTTTCTACATGCTGAATCATTACTTCAACTGCTTTGCTAACCCGGCTTTCCTAGTAAAAAAAAAAAAAAAAAAGAAAAAAAAAGAAAAAGAAACACATTTGTATTGAAAATACTATTCTTGATACCCAGTTAAAAGATGGTAATTAGAAACATTCATTTATCTTTATCCCTAAATCCCACTAAAATGCCAACAAAGGTATTTCTATTAAAAAAAAAAAAAAAAAAAAAAAAAGGCCTGAGTCCACCAGAGCAAATGAAACAGAAGATATAATAGCAATACAAATTTGAAAGCCCGCTAGGACGACTCTTGGTAAATGACTAAGACGTGAAAAAGCTGAACCCTAAAAGAAGCAGGAAGAAAAGCCTAGAATCAACCTAGGAAAGCACTGAAGGAAGGACCAGGGGATAGTGGCATCTCTGGGATTAAACTCCAAGGTGGGAATGTGAACAGAAGAGATGGCTGACAATCCATGTAAAAAGTGATTACTCCACAGACATCCTCCCTTACTCAAGCCAGCTGAGCAACTACCCTTCCACCACTTTGATGAAAAACTACAAAGACTGAATAAGGGTCGGGTAGGAAGAGATAGTTGATGGAGGCTCATCCTAACATGAATGGATGTAAGCAAAAGTCTGTATACATACTGAATAATGAGATCCCTAGCCTTATTCTCCCTTCAAGCTCCAAACACTGATAACCAGGCTTATACCTCAAGGCAGGTGGCTAAAAGATATTTCTCGAAGGAATCTAACATCCCAAGATGAGGGTCCTAGAACTGCTGTCAGTAAGAGCACTCCAACGCAATATCCTAGCTTGTGCGAAGCTCAGGGCCAACAAGAACCCTCCCCACTCAACACACACAGAGTTCCCAATCAGCTGTATAATAATGGTCCATCAGATGTTGGAGGAAAGCCTCTAGCACAAATGAAGAACAAAAAACAACAACAAAAACAAACAAACAAAAAAACAAAAACAAAAACAAGCTAGAGGAAACAAACCAGAGAAAAACGAAATCTTCAAGGAAACAACCAATACCTTGGTTGTTACAAATTATTGCATCTATGAAATAAGAAAAAGATATTAGTTAAAAGCATTCTGAAAACAAAAGGAGTCTGGAATTCTAAAATATGACAAACATTTTTTTTTTATAGAGAAGACAGGGAGGAGATGATGATGGTTTAAGGAAAAAGTGTGAAGTTGATTCTTAGAAGAGAGGGAGGGTGAAACATGGGAGGCCCTACGGACCCACATGAAATTTATGATACTGAATTTCAAGAGAGCTAATCAGTATATAGGTCTAATGTTAGAGATAAAGATATAAATTTTTAAAAAAGCCAAAGAGTTGAAAGCTATTTCTCTTTAATGTAGAGTATGGGATAATAAGCCTTAACAGAACTACTTAACTTTTTATTTTTGTTTTAGAAAGAGAGGAAGAGAGAGGGAGCGAGAGAAACAGTGATGAGAGAGAAACATCAACATCAATCGGCTGCCTCCTGCATAATGGGGATTAAGCCAGCAACCTAGGCATATGCCCTGACTGGGAATCAAACCTGTGACCTTCTGAGGCATGTGCTGATGTTCAACCAATGAGCCACACTGACCAGGAAAACTACTTAACTTTTTAAAACTATGTATACATAACTTTAATATAAATAAAACAATATTATTATATAGTGAGGAGATGAAAAGGAAATAGGATATTAAAAGTGTATAACAAATGATCAAACTAAAAATATCTCTACATTTGAATTTCTACTTCTTAGGAAATATATTTTAATAAATTTGTTTAAGTATAGATTACAAAAATTAAAATTTTCCTACATTTGCCAGCAAGAAAATTTGAAATTCTACTTCTCTATGAATAAGTGTGCAAAACTGCATATATGAGGATATTTATTATAGTAGTGTTTACAAGAACAAAATATCAAGCATATCCTGAAATGACCAAATATAGGGGATTGGTTAAGTAACTTACGATCTATTCAACCAAACCATAAAATAATGACATGAATTTATACCACATAGAAAGCTATCTAAACTGTATGTTGAGTGAAAAGAAGCAGATTATAACACTGTATGAAGGCAGTGTCTAAAAAACTATAACAAAATTTTTATAATGACTGTCACTGGTTAATCCTATTATGAGATATTCTCCTTTACATTTTTATTCACATATGCCATTTTTCATTTTCAGTACTAAACATATATGTCTTATACAATAAAGAAGAGTTTTCTAAAACTTATTCTTAGAAATATAATCTATAATTTCAAGGAAAATAATCATTTTAGTAATTTCATTATAACTACAGAAATAGAAAAAGATTACCTGATTAATGGCTCCCAACATCTCAGCCCTACTGGCCACTCGTAGTGTGCACTGGCTGAGGAACGTTATACTGTTCTCCAGCTTCTTGATGATCTCCTGGGCCTGGCTGTCCTCTTCACAAAGAGGTGTTAACAACTGCACAGAAAACAAGGCATTAGGAAGCATCCAAGCCCCAAATCCAGCAAGCGATTCTAACACTATATTGTAAAAGCAGACAACAGTCAAATCTCAATTTTCCTGGTAAAGAATGAAAAGAACTGTTAAGACCATAATGAAAGTTACTGAAATATGAGTACTTTCATCAAATAGACCTATGTAGGGGCTCACAAAGCCTTCTATATCTATTCTTGATCCCTTCTTAATTCTCAAATTTGCCCCACCTTTATGCATATTTATATTTTTCTTCTACAATGGAATGGGCATCATTGGTAATGGTAAAGACATATGCTTATAAATGAGTTGAGTATATTATCTGAGGAGCATAGTTTGAACTTTTAAGAAAAACAATGGAAGTGTACTGAAATTAGATATGGTTCTGACTACTATGCTTGCTCTTCCATTGATGACAAAGCAACTGGGCTGATTAGGTGGGTATGCCTTTATTGCCATATAAATATTTCTCTCAAACCTGTGCCCTTCATCCAACATGATGGCCTCCCTCTTGGAGGACCATTCTCACTGGGGAACAGATTTAAGAATAGCAAGTTTGGGAGCCAACAAGCTACTGCTCCGTAGCTGTGTGATCATGAGCACATTTTGAAGACTTGCCCCAATCTAAAACACCATACACTTTGTATAGCAAAGAAAAAGTTCTGCCAATAAAATTATAAGGTACCATTGACTGTAAATTGCACCCTAATTCTAGAAAGGTTACAGTGTCAAACTTTCTGATTTACTATTTCCTCATCTGTCAGGAAAAGACAATTATATCTTTTTTTCCAGGAATACTGTGACATGAGAGGTAACAGATGCCAGTTGTTTGCCACAAAGTAGGTGTTCAATGAATGGCAGACACTTCTGAAGCAGACAGATATGTATGAGTAGCTAATCAATTGGAGTAGCCATTAGCAATTTCCTTGGTAGTTTAAAAAACCACCTTAATCGTGAAGGGAAGAGCAGATATTAGTTCTCAGCTAATGGAAATGGTTTAACAAAACTGAATCATGAAGAAATGAACTATTTGAATAAATCAATAACCAGTAAGGAGATGAAGAGATATAAAAATATCCCAACAAAACAAAGTCCAGTACCAGGCTTTACTGTAGAATTCTACCAAACAACTAAAGTATTAATACCAATCCTTCTGAAACTCTTCCAAAAAATTAAAGAGGAAGGAACACTTACAAGATAATTCTTTGTAGCCACTATTATTATACTAATACCAAAGCCAGACTACAAGAAAATTAAATATTCCTTTATGAATACTTATCTAAACATTCTCAACAAAATATCAACAAACTAATTCAACAGCACATTAAAAAGGTTGTACCTATATGGCCAAGTAAGATTTGTTCTTGAAATAAAGGATGGTTTCACATATAATAATCAATTGATGCAATAGACCACATTAAGAGATTAAAAGATAAAACTACTGCAGAGAAATATTTGACAAGACTTAACACCCTTCATAATAAAAACAGTTAAAAAAAAAACATCTAGAAATAAAAGAAAACTATACCTCAATGTAATAAAGGCCATAGATGAAAAGCCATCAGCTAACGTAATATTCAATGGTGAAATACAATTTTTTTTCTTATAAGATCAGAAACAAAGCAAGATGCCCACGTTCACCACTTCAATGCATTTTAGTACTCAAAGTCCTTGCCAGAGCAATTAGGCAAGTGAAAGAAATAAAATGCCACATTGGAGAGGAAGGAGTAAAATTATTTCTGTAATATAACCCCAAAGATTCCACAAAAGACTGTTAGAATAAATGAATTTAGCAAAGTTGTAGGATACAAATCAACATACAAAAACTAATTGCATTTATATACACTAACGATCCTATATAATAAAACTCTATAATAATTTAATAAAAAAAGTAAAATAAATAAATAAATAAATAAATAAATAAAAAATAAATAAATAAAACCCTAATATGCAAATAAACTGAATGGCAGGACGACCTGTTGCTATGACATTCACTGACCACCAAGGGAGAGATGCTTAATGCAGGAGCTGCCCCCTGGTGGTCAGTGCACTCCCACAAGGGGAGCACCACTCAGCCAGAAGCCAGGCTCATGGCTGGGGAGCACAGCAGCAGTGGCAGGAGCCTCTCCTGCCTCCACCACAGTGTTAAGGACCCCTCGGTGTTTATCCCCCCAAGGGGTCCTGGACTGCAAGAGGATACAGGCAGGCTGGGGGACTGCCCTCCTCCAGTGCATGAATGTCATGCACCACGCCTCTAGTGAACAATAAAAAATGAAATTAAGAAAACAATTTCATTTGCAATAGCACCAAAGAGAACAAAATACCTAGGAATAAATCTTACCAAGGAGGTAAAGATTTGTACACTAAAAACTGCAAAACACTGCTGAAAGAAACTAAAGAAACATAAAGACATCCTGCATCATGAATTGGAAGACTTCCATTCTTCAAGATGTCCATACTACCAAAATCAGTCTACAGATTTAATGCAATCTCTATTAAAACCTCAATGGAATGTTTTGCAGAAGTTGAAAAATTCATCCAAAATTCATATGGAATCTCAAAAGACCCCAAATAGCCAAAACAACTTAAAAAAAAAAAAAAAAAAAGAACTTGGAGCTCGTACTTTATGCTTTCAAAACATTACAAAGCCACAGTAATCAAAATTGTACTGGCATAAAGACAGACATATAGATCACTGGAACAGAATAGAGTGCCCAGAAATAAACTTATGTACACATATATGGTCAAATTATCTTTGGCAATGGTTCCAAGAGTACACAATGAGGAACAGACTGACTCTTCAACAAATGATGTTGGAAAAAATAAATAGCCAGATGCAAAAAAGTGAAGTGGGACTATCACATTATATATAAAAATCAACTTAAAATGTATTAAAAACCCAAAACTATGTAATTCTAGAAGAAAATATAGGATAGAGATTAATGACATTGGATTTGACAATGATTGCTTGGATATGACACCAAAAGCACAGGCAACAAAAGCAAAAATAGACCAATAGTAATACAACAAACTTAAAAACGCTTGTGCATCAAAGGATAGAGTAAAATATGGAATAGGAGAAAGTATTTGCAAATCACACATCTTTTTTTTTAATACATTTTATTGATTTTTTTTACAAAGAGGAAGAGAGAGGGATAGAGAGTTAGAAACATCGATGAAAGAGAATCATTGATCAGCTGCCTCTTGCACACCCCCTACTGGGGATGTGCCCACAACCAAAGTACATGCCCTTGACCAGAATCAAACCTAGGACTTTTCAGTCCGCAGGCCAACGCTCTATCCACTGAGCCAAACTGGTTTTGGTGCAAGTCACACATCTTATTGAAAATTTGACAAAGGGCCTAAATAGACATTTTTGCCTCAAAGATGATACCCAAATGGCCAAAAAGCATATGAAAAGATGCTCAACAAACCTAATCACCAGGGAAAGGCAAATTAAAAGCCACAATGAGATACTACCTTGCACCCATTAGGATGGCTACCAGGAAAAAAAATATATAATAACCTGTTGGCCACAATGTAAAGAAATTGAAACCTTTGTGCAATGCTGGTAGAATTGTAAAATGGTGTAACCACTATGTAAAACAAGATGGTTGCTCCTCAAAAAACATAAACCTAGAACTCCATATGATCCAGCAATCCCACTTCTGGGAATATTCCTAAAATAACTATAAGCAGTGTTCTCAAAGAGATATTTGCACACACCCTTGTTCATAGCAACAATGGCCACAATAGCCAAGAGGTAGAGGCAACCCAATTGTCCATCAATAAATAAGTAAACTAAATGAGGCTGAGAAGAGGGCGTAGGGAGAGTTGAACATCTATTCACAACAATGTAAATATGGGTAACACTTCTGTACACTTAAAATGGTTAACATGGTAAATTTTGTTATGTGTCTTTTACCACAATAAAAAAATATAGAATATGGTTTCTAAACTTTTATTTTTCTTTCCCACAATTAGCCCTCTTAATTTCCCAATCCATCTTAATATTTATGGTGACTTCCCAAGATGGAAGAATAGTAGCTGTTACACTGCTCTGTAACCTTACAGAGGGCTTGCCCACATCTGATGAGACCCATTTTCTTTCTGTTTTTAATTTTTAGTTACTTAAATAGAAATAGACTTTTGATTCTTTTCTTTGAATATAAAAATTGATATTATCTCCTATTTCTCAGTTTTTTTGTCTGATAACTCATAGGATCAACTTAAAAGGCATGTACTGTTTGTTTATTATGCTTTCCTATTATTGAATCTTTTTTTTAAATTTTATTTTATCCTGATTCTGAATTCTTACCTCTTACTAACTCACCCTGGGAGTGCTTGGTCCTTGGTGTTAGCTTCTGTCAAATAAGTAAACTCCTATGTCATTTTGAAAGCATTACACAGTCCCCAGATGTGATTCTTACCTCCAACAGCTTCACACAGTTAGTGATTTCTCTCTTCAGATTTTCTTCTGCCAAGTCACGGGTTCTTTCTTCAAGCTTCAGTCTTTTCTCTAAGGTGAACCAGTCACACTTAAATCCCAAAGATAATCTGAGAAATTCGGCCTGTTGTCAAAATAACAGGAGGGCGAAGGGTGAAAATTGGACGTCGTCAAATATCTCAGTTCAATACTGAATTATACTGAGGCATTTCTTTCTCTACTCAGCAACACAGTGTTGGCACACATATACTTTACCTGCATTTGGTCATAACCAAGCGTAGGACAGCTGTGCAAAAGCATGAAGCGACTATACACAAGTGAGTCTGAAACACTTTTTAAAAATGCAAATAAAAAATATTTAAACTCACCTCTACCTCCTTCTCATTTGCAGAAATGCTATAGGATAAGACAAAGAACTTATTCAAACACAATTCAACAGAAAAGCAAAACAACGTTAGCATGCTATGTGAAGAAGAGCTTACTTGTCACTTTGTTTAAAGTTAACCAATTTCACAGTGGTTACAGGAGCAGAGGAAACAGCAGCGTCTATTAAAAGACAGTAAGGTATTATTTGGTTAAAAAGGCTTATTAACAGCAACGGCTAAAGGCTCACTCAATAAAATGTCATATCCTCTCTTCACTAAACAAAGGTGTCTCATTGAAATATGTCTGAGATGATAGCTAGCTAATAATGCATTTGCTGAAACATAGCTTAATGTTATGCTATGCTATTCATTCAGCATGTGAATGAATAGTCTTTGAATAGAGCGACAGCTCAGTTTTTCTCTCTGCATTTGAATGTTTGTTTGACTTGATCCTGTGGCTAAATGCATACCTTCCTCTGGTGCCCTGCTTCTTTTTCATAGCAAAGTTAGAATAGCAGCAGCAAGAGTAATAGTGATTGTAGTACTAGTAGTACAGATAATAATAGTGTAATAATAATAACAATACTGATACTGATTAACAATAACATCAATGATACAGATGGTCTCAACCATTCAATCACAGGTTTACTACATGCCAGTCCCACGCAAAGCTCTTTATGTGTACGAGTGACACTCTTAACGACGACTTCGCAAGGAGGAAAACTAACAACTTCATCAGAGCATTTACCAAAGAAGGATGATATTATTGTTCTACAGTAGCTAACTTGTATGAAAACTTCTCGGCCTAACACTTTTCTAAGTGCTTCAAACATAATTTATTCAATCCTCATAGTATAACTTCTGTGATAGATTATTATCTACAGTTCACAGATAGTTATTATCTATACTTCACAGACTAGGAAACCGAATCACAGCTTACCTACCACACACAGGTATTTGGGAGACCTAAATAAAACTATGTACATAAAGAATTTATATAGAATGCTCTCAATAAAGGATATTTTTTTACTCATCTTTTCCATTTTTCAGATGAGGAAATTAAGACTCAAATTAAATAACTTCCCAAAGTCAAAGAAAGTCAGAGACTGACCCAGTACAAAGTCTGCGTGACCCCAAAGCCTGAATTCTGCCCACTACTCCCTCCCATTAAAGGTGCAATGGGGAGGGAAGCTTAGAGCACTTGCTCTTTAAATACTGGTTTGTGTATTTTTAGAATTTACTCCCAACATTGGCATGGTCCTTAGGCCACAACAGGGCAGTAGTCCTCTGGGGTCTAACAATCAGTGGCAACATAAATGTGACTTTCTGAAAACAATACAAATGGAATCAAGAATCAGTTCATAATGAACAACATAAATTGACAAACAGGGACAGATCCAGAGGCAGAGAAACATCGATCAGACTGACAGACCTCAGAGGGAAGCTAGGGGAGGGTGGGTGAAAGAAGATCAACCAAAGGACTTGTATACATAAATATAAGACTAACCAATGGACATGATCACCAGGGGGTGAGGACATGAGTGTGGAGGGCTTGGGAGTTCATGGAGAGATGAGGACACATATGGAATACCTTAATCAATAAAGAAAATTTTTTTAAAAAAAGAATCAGTTTTATTGGCTAATTTTATCTAGTAATGCACAATGTGTAGATGCCACATCTGTACTCAGAAAGATTTCACCCATAGCCATGCCAGGCAGGGAAAAAAAGTTCACATGGGGGTTCAGAGAGAAGATTCCTTACCTCCTGCGACACATTCTTTTCTAGGATCATCTATTGTTTTTGTTTCCTCTTTGGCTTCCTAAAATCATAAAGAGATTTTATTGTTGAACATAAAGTGGGTAGCCTTTATAACCAACTTCCTGTCCTCCCCTAACCCTACCTGGTCAAAACACTAAAAAGAAAAAAAAAAAAACACACAAAAAACTAACCCAACACATTAAACTGTCCTAGGGTTAAAGAAGAAACAAGACTGCTCCAGGGGGGTTTCCAATCTAGTTGCAGCACGAAGGACAGAAATATAGGAAAAGCTGCAAACAGGATACAAGTTACCACAAAGCAAACTAGGATGAATGGCTAAATAAATGGGATCTAGACAAGTAGGTGCATGGCAGGGGAAGAAGAGAGACATTATGGCCGGAATAGCATGGAAAGTCTATGCTGACATGAAACATACTGAAGCCTGATGGAGAGGTAGGAGAGGATGGATGACAAGGGAAAAGGGGGTTGTTCTAGGACTATTGCATGCAATGGATATTGGAGAAACTGTGGCAAAAATAACAGCCAACGTTGTGCTGTTCGGCTTTTACTCCATATGAATTTACTTGAAGTCACTGATCAACTATCTTACAAATCTATCTATACAACAAGAATCTCCATAATAAGTGGGTTATATTGCACTGCCTGGCAATCTAATGGGAAAGCTGTAGGTATACAATCATTTTATGATAATAATTACTCAACATTCTTAGAAATTTTCCATAAAAATAAGTCCAAGTCAAATGTCCTTGGTAGAGCCATTGATAACCGTATCATGAAATTTTAAGGCAGTTGAAACTAAGACCATTAAAATGGAACAATTGCAACACTACAGGTAAAGCACTGGATCATTCTTGTCAACATTAAAATATTCTTCAGTTTTTTGAATCCTCATTCAACCCCATGACCTCTTCCAGCTAGGTTACTTTCTCCCTCTCCAGACCTTCATATTCACACTTCTGGGAGGAGTTGTCCATGGTTGTATTTCCAGTTCTTTGTGTCCCATCTGTCAACAATGAACTGCTCTGCTCCCATATTCAACACACCAAGAAAACTGCTCTCTCAGTTAACAGTGAACTCCCTACTGCCAAACCAATGGATATTCTCCAGTCTTTGTCTTACTTAACTTCACTGTGGCATCTGAGACAATCCATTATCCCCTCTTTCTTGAAGATGTCTCTCCCCTTGGTTCTGCTCTCCCAACATCTCCCCATCACTACACCTTCTCTTCAGACTCCTCTGCATTGCCCTCTCACATTAGAAAATGGAATCACTGGGAGTTAATTATCCTCAGTGCTCTCTTCCTGACTGCTAAATCCTTGGGGAATTTTATCCATATACTTGGTTCTTTGCTGATAACTCACAAGTGTGTATCTGTTTCTAAAAGTCCCATCGGCAACTTAAGAAAATGGGTTTATAGTCTCATGTAAAATCTCCTTACAAACTGTTGATGCCTCACATTGGCCTGGAACTTTATTTCTAACTGATCTTTTTTACCCCACAAATTCACCTCTTCTTACTCCCTCCCTCTTCTCACGTCTTTGCGTTCATATCTCCACCATGACATTACTTTTGGCCTCTCACCCCAAGCATTTTCCTTTCACATCACTAATCACACTCTAATTATGGAGTCACTTCTTTCCCTAATTAGAACATATCTTTAAGATAGTTATCAGTGTTTTATTCAACCTTGTTTATTACTGCCTTCACTTATTTTAAAAGTCCTCTACTGATTAATATTGGGCTTATTTTCAGTAGACCTTTGAAGAATAAATGAGTGAATTAAAGACTCTGCTGTGTGAACTGGGACAAGTCACAGGGATGCTTTGGCCTCACCTTCTTTATAAAATATTCATATAATCACATTCTTCTAACCCCATGATATTTTTAAAGGGGAAAATGAGATAGTGCTTTCAAGAGTATTTTGCAAACTTAAAGGAACAGTTCCACCACTGTAATATTTCATTACTTTCATTGTTAATTCATGTATATTTCCTTACCAGATTTAACATGGTTTTGTTCTCATTCACAGAGTTTTGGAGTGCAATATTCTCGTGATCTGGACTTGTGTCTATGAGAAAAAGAAAATACACTTAACAGTTGGGGAGCTGTATCAAATAAAAGAGGAAGAAATAGTGAGGGTGGCAAAATGAGCAGACTAGTGAGTAGCACAAGCCTTAACATGTTAGACAAATTCATACTGCATAACTTTAAAAGTGTCCATTGATTAAAAAATCAATACTAGAGAAGCTGAGATTCCCAGGGAAGCTAGCAATATGATTAGTAGAAATTAACATCTGTATAAATGGCCTTCAAATTCTCCAGGTTTTAATATCTTTTTAAAGGCTGCTGCTACTTTGTTTAAAAACAAACACATTACTAGTATAATTATAGAAACTGGATGAAGGAAGGATGGGCAATTAGTAGCTTAGTAGCTTTTTTATAGCCTGACAAACAGGTCTCTTAAAATTACATACCTAAGGCTGATAACGAAAGTTAACCTTCTAAAATATGTATCTCTCTAAATAAAATGTCATCAAACTAAGAAGAGGACTTTTAAATTATGCCATTTCTTTTTGTAATTTCCCTTTATTTTTGTGTACTTTATTTGCATTGTAATGTACTTAATGATTTTCCTCTTCAGAGGATCCATTGTGCTGAATTTAGCTCAGTGTAGGCATAACAGTTAACAGCTATAGGTAGGTTTTGTTTCTTTCTTTTTAAGAAAAAAAAAATAGTTGAAGAATGTGTTATATTTTTAAATTTTTATGGAAATAAGAACAAAATGGTAAACACTTTCTTCAGAGATAATATATATATTTTTCCCTATGGAAATTTTATTTTTATATTCATTTAAGTTTTAAGACAGATAATAGATTCATATGGTCCATACATTTAAAAATGTAAAATGTTTCACATGCCATACAGAAACCCACTTTCTGTTCTGTTAGTTTATCTACCCTTCCAAAGATATTTTATACATACATAAATTTTTTTTCTCTTTCTTTTCTTTTTTTAAAAATATATTTTATTGATTTTTTTACATAGAGAAGGAGAGAGGGATAGAGAACGAGAAACGTCGATGAGAGAGAAACATCGACCAGCTGCCTCCTGCATCCCCGCTACGGGGATGTGCCCGCAACCAATGTACATGCCCTTGACCAGGACCTTTCAGTCCGCAGACAGATGCTTACCATAGAGCCAAACCAATTTTGGCTTTTCTTTTTTTTTTTTTTTAAACAATTTTTTACATGTAATACATAATTATTAGTGTGTGTGGTTTCCTTTTTCAAGAAACAATAGTTCTTTGCTAACCTTCCAAGAAAACAGGATCCTTATATATGTTTTATGGATCCATATTTCATTACATGGATATGTAAAAATATATTAACTAGTATTCTATCTTACTAATAGTTAACTTGTTTTCAATATCTTTTATTACAGACAATACAGAAAATAAAATTCATACATGTCATATTGTATGTGTGTACTTGTAGATCTATAGAATAAATTCCCTGAAATCAAATTGTTTTATCACAAGATATGCACATTTAACATTTTGGTGCATATTGGCAAATTCCCCTCCATAGTATTTACAGTAAATGGTGTCTCATTGGGAATGGTAGATAATAACTACTTTGTTTTCAGAGTTGAATGGCAGAAAGAATCTAACATGTCATCTAGTTAGCTCTTTTGCCTGCTGAATGGACCATCACTAATGCTCTGTCTCATAACCTAATAGATTCTAATTGGGGTTCTGGAATTTCCTTTGGCTCAGATTCTACATCTGAGCCAAATGAGACCCAGTTGTGGCTAATCAATCTTTGCCATAAAGAAAATTTTATTGAATATATTGTAATTTTAGTTTTATATACAAAATTGGGCGGGGGGAGGTTGGTAACATTACCATAGTAAAGGCAATAGTCATTTCTTGGACCTAATTTCTCTACACTAAGTCTCCAAATTCTTTAAAAAAAATAATGCAACTGAGAACAGTTACTCTACTAGCTTATAGGTCAGCTTAGTGTTTCAGGTTGAAAACCATACTTGATCCCTTTAAGAGCTTACCTTTGACTTTTATCATAGAATCTGATCTATCCTTCTTTTTCTCACAGAGTAATTTACAATCAAAGTAACCAGAAGCCTTATTCAAAGTTTCTGACCCGGAATCTATCAACAGGAAGAAACTAAGAGCACGAATACTATGCAAAAGTATTTGCCTATGTTCTTCTGATTTGCACACACGTCAGCAGGTCACAGGACATCAAGCTCACAGTTGTAATACTAACACTCTATGGTGATATCTTTTCTGAGTCCACTCACCACTTGAAGTTACAGTACTCTCAGAGGATGACGTGTGTCCAGGAGACGATAGTGTGGTATGATCTCTGCCAAAAGAGTGGAAGAAATATTTTGAGGTGTCAGGTCCAAAGAAATCTCTCAAAAATTAATTGAAAGGCATACAAATTCACACACATACAACAGACAAAGCAAACCTGAACTGTGGCAGGCTCTCAGAATTCAAGAGTTCGATACCATTCTCCTTAAGGGAAAGAAAAGGGAAAAGTAGAAATAAGTCCAACAATTTGACATTTTCCATTCCAGAAAGGTGGTGTTAAGCAAACATTTTCATATAATTTTAAATGAACCTATATTTACTTAGCTCTTATCCTCTTGGAGAGGATATGGAAATGGGATTACACAGGGCAGATTGATAGCTACTTTCTCAAAGCTGTTCTTGCAAAAAAAAAAAAATCCTACTTGAAGTATACTTCCATGTCTAATATTTAAATAAAAGCTGACAAATTCTTGGGCAAAACAAATTCTAAACATAAAGGGCAGGTAGAGTTTGTTCCATGGACTTACTCCAAGTTTTCTTTAAACAGAACATTCTATGTGGACATAAAACATTTCTATTTATGGAGATATTGCTCAACCTAAAACTTTTGACCTGGTGATTTTAAGATGGTTCTCAATTTTCTAGCTTGACAGATCAGACACTTTAAACGGAATCAAATTCTCAAAGATCTGAAGGATTCCATCTAAGGCAGCACCTATTCTTAGGTGCTCAAATGGGCTTAACAAGTCCCTGCCTGCTTGGCCAAATGATCCCATTTGAACTTAGCCTCTATCAGGAGTTCCTAATTTGGAGGGAACTTTGGGACATTAGGGTTGGTGACTTCACGTATTCTATTTCAAAAAATACAGTAGAACATAGGTTTCTCTATAATAATAAGATTTTCTAATAAGCTTATTTTCATTATTATTTTATCTACTTAGGAAAGTAAATTCAAATTGAATAAAACTGAAATTATTTGGACATATCAAAAACCTGCACAGGTCCAGCCAGCATGGCTCAGTGGTTGAGTGTTGACCTATGAACCAGGAGGTCATGGTTCGATTCCTGGTTGAGTTACATGCCTGGCTGGCAGGCTTGGCCCCCAATAGGTGGTGTGTTTCTCTCTCTCTTCCTTTCTCCCTCTCCTTCTGAAATTAATTTTAAAAATACTTTCTTTAAAAGCTGTCTAAAAAAACAACACACCTGTAGACAATGTAAAAAATGGACACATTTATGGTATTCCATAATCAAACATAAAACATATTAACTGCCACAACCAACAATAAGTTTCAGTGGCAGGATACTGGGCATCATACACAGCAGTTAGAATCCATCCAAGATAGACCTGACGGTAGCCACAGAAAAAGTGAAGATCTAGCAAGAGTTTGCTGAGTATGTAGTTACCCAGTCTATAACAGCAGCTTACATCTATCTGTTGAGCACATTAAAATTTATAAAAACCCTTTTATGTATCATCTCATTTAATTTCCCAACAATCAGATGTAGTGGTGTTTTTTTTAAAATATATTTTATTGATTTTGTACAGAGAGGAAGGGAGAGAGATAGAGAGCTAGAAACATCGATGAGAGAGAGTCATCGATTAGCTGCCTCTTGCACACCCCCTACTGGGGATATGCCTGCAACCAAAGTACATGCCCTTGACCGGAATCGAACCTGGGACCCTTCAGTCCCCAAGCCGACGCTCTATCCATTGAGCCAAACCGGTCTTGGCAGATGTAGTGGGTTTTAACAAGAAAAGATTTACTTATTTCAGAAAGGAAAGTGAAGCCAATGAATAAATGAATTTCCCAGGAATATTCAGAATGATGGTGTCAGTATATAAACCCAGATCTAGCGTCCTTTCCCCTGTAAACAAAACTGTTTCCAATCCCTAGCTGGTTTGGCTCAGTAGATAATGTGTTGGCCTGCAGATTGGAGAGTCCCGGGTTTGATTCTGGTCAAGGGCATATACTTTGGTTGCAAGCTCTATCCCTGGCCCTGGCTGGGACACATGTGGGAGGCAACCAATTGATGTGTCTCTCTCACATCAATGTTTCTCTCTGTCTCCTCCCCTCCCTTCCACTCTCTCTAAGAAATCAATGGAAAAATATCCTTAGGTAAGGATTAATAACAACAACAACAACACACACACAGACACAAACACACACACACACACACACACACACACATACAAAAACCCACAAAAACTGTCTCTGATATACCATAACCCAGACTATTGGGGAAGCAAAGAATTCCTATTATTGTCTTAGATTGGCATATTATTTAAATAAAAATTTTTAAAATGTTCACCTCAAATGTTTAGAAAACTCCACAAACTTTGCAAAGCTAGACTTTATATCTAATTCTCCTACGTATTAATACTGAGGAATCCTCTCCCTTTTATTTCATTTCTTCTCTGCTTTAAATATCTTTGGGTCAGATTATATGGGTCAGACTAAAGCCCCTCATGACACAGTTTAATTCAACAACTATATCAAAGGCCCACTTTGTACTAGGAACAGTGCCACACAAAAACACAGTTCTTGTCTCAGGAGAGCTCATATGCCAGTCAGGAAGACAAATAGATAAAACAAACACTTCATATATTACAGGCAGCATTCCACAGAGGAAAGTAATATGCACAGAACAGGACAGAGTGGGGTAATATTTGAATTAAATTTTGTAGAGAAATTGTACCTTATACTCTGGGTAGTTAAATAATGATGGCTCTATCCTTAAAAATATTTTAATATATTGTATTAGTAATTACTATGAGCTTATTTAACTATATTCCAATAAGAAATAAAGCTATAAAGATAAAAAATAAACATCTTTCAGTTTAATTGCCAGTAAAGAATGATTCCTTGCCGGGACCGGTTTGGCTCAGTGGATAGAGCGTCGGCCTGCGGACTGAAAGGTCCCGGGTTCGATTCCGGGCAAGGGCATGTACCTTGGTTACGGGCACATCCCCAGTAGGGGGTGTGCAAGAGGCAGCTGATCGATGATTCTCTCTCATTGATGTTTCTAACTCTCTAATTCTCTCTTCCTCTCTGTGAAAAAATCAATAAAATATATTTTTTAAAAAATGATTCCTTAATAATAATAAAAATCAGGCCCTTTTCACACATCCTAACATATAAAAATTTGTTATGTGTAGCTTGAAATAACACTTATTATTGTGCTATAATTAACAATGTTTGTTACATGTAATAATAATTATATTGCACGAACTAAAAGTTAATTTAGTCAGAAAGAGACGTCTTATACCTAGTAGAGTCATGGATACTTACATTTGACTTTAAGAAGTATGAAAGAGAATGTAGTTATTTCCTACTTAATTAAAAAAGCTTCCAATATTGAAAGGAACCCACCATTTTGCACACTTTGATTTTCTAAAAAGTGAAATTATTTAGTGTCAAGATCATGAATACAGCAAAAATATAGTTTGTCTCCATCATATTACAAATGTCTCATTTGTCAGAACCTCTGCATAAACCTCATATGTGAAATATTTTAATAAGAAGTTTTTTGATAAACATAACATATACATTAATTAAATAAATAATAATTATGAGATTTTGGAGAAATGTCATATATTCAGTAGTCATATATCACTGCATTGTTTTGGAACAGTTATAAGGTAAGCAATTGGATATTGCTTCAATTTATAAATCTGTATAAATCTCACTGATCAGAAACAAAACAATATACAACATATCTAGATTTTCATAAATTTGGTCTACCAAAAATTTTTCCCTTTCTTACAAGAATAATCAGACAAAAGAAACTTTTTTTTCCCCCCCAAGTTTAGGGTTATCGTTAATGAAAGTTGGAGACCCAGCCCCTCAGGGTATCTGTGCATGTGGAGAGGGGGATGGGAGATAACTCAGCAAAAACTTTCCATAATTGTGCTCTTTTCTTCCAGCTTCAAAAGTCACCCCCATTCCAGCTAGCATCCTGGACCTCTAGGAAAATCTAACTCACACACAACCACTGTGAGACCTGGCAGAGTGTGAACAAGGTAATCTAATGGATAGATTAAAACCAAGGGAAAGAAATTGCCTAAAAGCAAGAAAAAGAAAGTTTGGATGAGAGACTTACTTACATAGAAGACTGGCTCAGGTCAATGAGTCCAAAACATGCTGAGAACATACACCAGGAAGAATGGTCTTCTGTCCCAGCCATTCAAATACCAACCTGATAACATTTGCATGCAAATCCATGGTTCAGCCCATTTGCCTTTGACAGTAAGAGTCTAATACAGGGTGGGGTAGCCATGGTACTCATGAAACAAAGTGAGACAGATTCTCCCAGGGGCTGGGTTAGCAAATGCAGGACACACATGTGCACACACACACACACACACATACACACACACACACACACATACACACACACCACACATCACACACACACACACACCTCAGCAGTATGGTATCAATATTTAGATAGAAAAATATGAACAATAAGAAATAACCTTTAAAATATTAGTAAGGGCAATGAATGAATAGATCTAGATAACCTCCCTCCCTCAGGTTATTTTATTTTTGCTCTTCTAAATGCTGTTACTTTATCTATAGATTTTTCTGATCAGAAACCCTCCCACTAATTCAAGTTACCATTTTTCACTATTATATCTATTTTAAACACTTGATGCTACTCAAATAAATTAATACGACTTTCTGAGGAAAACAAAAATTGAATAAAAGGCACTTAGATGGACTTATTTCATCCTAACTTAAAAAAAAAATAACTATTTTGGCTTGATTCAGTGTTAGTTTCATATTCTAAAAAAAGAAAGAATGTACAATGAGTGTCAAAAGATTGCAACTGCTGTAACCTAAACAAAACTAAATTGCCTCACAGGTGCTTGGTTTTTTGTTTTGTTTTGTTTTTCCAATTTCTAAATAAAAGGACACCACACCCTCTGATCTCCAGGACACACCCACCACTTTGAGGTTCCTTTATAATACAGTTATCAATCAACTTTGACATGTCTCTATTTTGCAACTAGCAGTGTTATTTATTCTCCAAGGTTATTAATGAATGCTACACCTATGCACAGCTTGAGAGAACTGGATGGACAATAGCCAGAAAATCTTCTGAGATAATTTTAAACGGATCCTGCCCTTTGCCTCACAAATCACCTCCTCCTAGTGACAGTGCCTCTTAAACAAAAACATATTATAACACAAAGGAGACCT